CCTAGTCTGTCTTTGTTTTGTAGCTCATCTGAAACCTTTCCACCATGGGTGACCCTGCTGGTTATTTAAAACACCGGTGGCATAGCCCTCAGATTTTTTTGATATCCTAGCGTAAAGCTTATTCTGGAAAATAACCCATGTGCACTGGAGAAGACTGTATTGTTCTGATGCTGGATAGAGTGTTCCATATATGTCTGTTAGGTCCAGTTGGCTTATGGTTTTACAGCCATTTGCCACATAATGTCTGTTTGGACAATGTCTGACAGCGACTATGGTCCCAACCCCTAGTATATGAAAAATTACAGTTATATGCAAGTGGGTACAAAAGGCTTGTGGAAAAATCCCATTCTCTTTTAATTCTATTTTCAATGAACTCTTTGAAGCTCCCTTGTATAATAGCTTGTAACAATAAGTAAGTAGTACCTGTGACATGTATCGAAATGTTACTATTCTTATTATTATAGTATTAAAAGATCCAAGGTATTCCTCTCACCGTGCTACTTTTGTAGTGCCTGTCTGTCTTGGGGCTCTTTGACATTCAACTGCACATTCTCTCAGTGCACGGCCTCTTTTCACCACCCCCAAATTTCCGTGGCTAATATGTGTTCCCTTAAAACTTGGCCTGCAACTTTTTCTCTCTAACCCCATTTCACAGTGGCTGCAATGAGTACAGGCTCCCAGCTTTATTTAGCAAGTAGATTCTCCCAGTTTCTGTGCCATTGCCACTCCTCTTCTCCCCCGTTTCTGTACTCTCCAACACTTAGCTACTGTCTGGAACCCTGAGATCTCAGTCTGTGCTTGTTTTTATTTGTTATTCAGTGGGAAGTAAATGGAAACTTTCACTCATTTCACCATTTTGCTCCACCCCTCTACCAGTAAGCTTCTAATTTTTATTTTAATGTTGAGGAAGGTGAGGCACAGAGAGGGTAAGCAACTTGCCCAAGGTCACACAGCTAGTTAACAGCAGAACCAGATGCAAACCCAGGCAGTCTAACTCTGTAGCTCAGATCCAGTTTGTGCATGTGTGAATGCACTATATATTTAGATCTGTTGTTAATATGTTTTATTTCTTTGACTGCAAGCAAAAGTTAGGTGGAAATGACGAACTAAAAATTAATTTTACCAAAACATTTTAGTATAAAAATATTGCTTTTTCTGGTCTGGAGAAGAGTTGGTCCTGGTGTCATATGTGACAGCCACATTCATGATGCGTGTTTTTTACTGTGGAAGTAATTGATTATGAATGTGACTTATCAAGGTATTTAGATATAAGAATATATTCTTTATAAATGTTTTCACTTTACATTTCAGTTACATGTTTTCAGGGTAATGTATGAGTGACATCACTTCATGTGCATTTTGCAAAATTATCTATTTTGTCTGTTAACCTTGCAAGCATTTATGCACTTAGGGTTATAACAGATCCTAATTTATGAAGCTTTGGTAGCGTAGTGGTTACGATTTGGGCTGCGAACCGCGAGGTCAGCAGTTTGAAACTACCAGCTCTTCCGTAGGAGAAAGATGAGGCTTTCTGCTCCCGTAAAGATTTACAGCCTCGGAAACTCTGTGCAGGGTCAGTATGAGTCGGAACCTACTCCACGGCACATAACCACCACCAACCAATTTATGAAGCACTTGCTTTGCAGGATTTGAAAATGGAAAATGTTGTGTCAAATTATGCTTTTGGCATTCTTCATTATAAAAAAGATTGCACTAAAATTACTCATCTTAATTGCTCCATGGTGTTGGTGTAAATGTAGTACTTTCAGGGCCTGCTCTTTAAAACTCAAACCCAAACCCAAACAAAAAACTGGGCAAAACTAATTTACCACTAGATGGAGCCCTGGCTATTTGGGTAGAAATAAAAAGGAAAAACAGTCAGAACATTAAATCACAAAGTCCTATCATGCTGAAGGGCCCTTGGTATTTGAGGCCCTCAGCTTTTAATTGCAGAATGCATCTTTGTTCCTTGCCTGACCTGCCGAGTGACATCACTGCCTTTCTTCCTGTGCGCTGGCTTTGACACAAGCCAGATGGCCCTGGAGATCGGTAGGAGCGCAAGCTGCCTGGTACAGCAGTTGATGAAACAGAATAGGAAGACGTTTTATGGTCAGCTGTGGGAGCACAATGAAGCTACAGCTTTGCTAAGTAATTGCATTTACTGCGCACACTTTATTTCTTTGCTAAGTAATTACATTTACTGTGCACATTTTTATAGGTCAAAAAGAAAAAAAATACATTTTTATTTATAGTGTTGTGAGGTATAGACCTTTGATCTTTTATTAGTCAGTAGTCTGCTCTAAAGGAATGCTCTCTTTTCCCTGTTCTGCATTCACTCGTGAAAATGACATGTTTATTTATGTTTAATGGTTCTTTCAGGCTGAGCATTGTGATACTTACCTTCCCTCTTCCTCCCTTTTGTCTCTAGTTAGTAACACAAAAATGTTTTAGTTTTGCAGTGAGTTTAGTTTGGAGAAGTCAGAGTTCAGGCACGCTAATACAAGCAGATTTCTGTCAGATATACTCCAGAGTGATTTGGTAAAATATATTACTCTGTATTATGTGTTTGTGCTTCAAGGAGGTCAGAAAGACCAGGAACAGCCTTTTTTTGGGGAGCGGTGGTGGTGTAGGAAATGAATAAGCATTAGTTTGACATCCAGTTTTGGGCATTTAGTGCAACCACTTATTAATGCTGATTTAAAATAAAATATTAGGCATGCATATTAATCTATTATTTTCCATTTTCATTTGAAGTTAATCTTTGTCTTTACCAGTTGAAATAGTGTATTTAAAAATACAACTTTAAATTTAAAAAAATTTAAAATCTGAAGTTTTCCCTGAAGTTGAACATTTACACAGTTTTGAGATTTTTCCACATGGTTCATTTGCCCAAACTTTAAAAATACATTTACCAGCTCACCTAACTTTTCCTGATTTAAGCTGTGAATTGAACAGAATGATTTCAGGTGGCCCTTAGAACTTCTGCAGGCCTGTTGTATTGGCTGGAAGACACAGGGAAGTGGACACCATTCTGCTTTTCCCATCGGGCCCAGAGAAAACTGTAGAATCGTGTGTGAATATGATATTGAATGTTGCTTTATTTAAATGAGTAAAATATGTTGATGTTGCATAATTTCTCTTATATATTCTGATAATCTTAGTGATAAAATTAAATGTTATTTTTTTCTAGTAAAAAAAATACATTTATGGGGATATGGAGAGAGGGAGCAGCTGAGGACTCTAGATTCATGGGGAAGTGAGGGACTAAGAGATGGCGGCCAGGAGGCAAACTTGCAGCATGTGCCCTTTGGTGGTTTAAATTATTATATATGCCCGAGTGTTTAAAAAAAAAAAAAAAAGCTACAGTGAATAGAGAGAAACACTGGTAACTGATGGTACATGGCGGGGATTGTAATCATTATAATGAAACAACGTGTAGGATTTGTTGACTGTGAAACTGATGATCTGCCCTGTAAACTTTTACTCAATCCACAATAAAAACCTTAAATTAAAAAAAATACATTTACCCTTTTTAATGCTAGGCTTATGAATATTATTTATAGAATGTATCTATAAATTGTAAATCATAAATTTGAATAAAAGTTTATATTGCCATTCTTTTTTCAAACTTAATATTCTTTCTAAAGTGAAGTCTCCTGGTTTTCCCTAGGTTGTTTAGATCTCTATTTAAAAAAAAAAAAAATCCAACAAAAGAAATCTCTTAATCTTACAGTATTTTGCAATCTTCTCCAGAGAGAGAAATTTGCAAATAATTGTTGGAGTAAGTCAGCATGGTGTAAGGAAAGAACACGACTTTGCAATCAGATAGAACAGAGTTTCCTAATCCTTTTTCCACTGGTTGTTTACTTTGTGCCCTTGGACCTTTGAGCCTTGGTTTCCTTGCATACGTATTGGGGGATAAAACCTACCTGCTAGGCTTATTGTAAGAATAAACAGTACAATGCGTATAATAGTCCAAAGACAGTGTCTGCCACATGGTAGAAACTCAGTATATGCTAATTCTTTTCAACTATTTTAAATCTTGTCTCTTTTCTAAACCATTTGCAAGCTGTGTTCATAGATTATACTGCTGTTACGTAGTGTGCATTTTATTTATAAGGTGTCAGTAAGTTTGGGGTGAAAGTAAGCTCACCATCCCCAAAATAAGCCCTTAAAATGTATTATCGCTATGTGTGTATGTGTTCCGTTCCAGATAAAACCCTGACCATCAACTGTGCAGTGAATGTGTTTCACATTGTGATGTTTTAATTTTTTTTTTCTCTTTTTTTTTTTTCCTGCTCAGCTCTTGCCCCAGTTCTTTGCTTCTGATTTTGATGGTGAAGATATCACAGTGATGTCTGCCTTCAACCTGCTGCATTTGGTGACAAAGAGCCAGCCAGTAGCCCTGCGAGCCTGCGGGCTTCCCTCAGGTTGCTGCTTGTTTTACCGTCTGTAGGAGGGTGCTGGTCGGACTGGGAGTTTCTGTTGCAGGAAATGATACACCATAATGCTTTGCTAAATTTACTTTTCTTTTACTTGGGCTCTAATTTGAAAGCGGAAATTGGTTATAAATCACCATTCTGCTCTGAGTAACATTCATTTCCACAATCCGTACAACTCTGGGAAACATTGTCCAGTTTCCTTGCCCAGTATATAATTGTTACTAGTATTTCATGATATAGTCCGTTCTTTAATGCACATTACACATCTGAAAGTTATAATATTCATATGAAGCTGCAAGTCTTGATAAGAAACTGCCTCAAATCACGCAACATAGGACATTCATCTTGTTAAAACAGAATTCAAATGCTTTTCATTTCACATGTAGCCATTCTTTTAGAAAACAATTAAAATGAAAAAGCTTAGCATTATTGTTACTTACTTACTGTAACTAAAGATAAAAACAAATAAGCAGAATTAATATTGCATGCCAGCTGGTTCTTAAATTAAAATGACCATACTTTTGTAAAATGTGATTTTTAAGCACTTAAACAAGTGAGGTGTGAAAGTGCAAGAGCAATCTTATATGGTCGTGTCATAACTTCAGAGTCCTGGTGTGGCGCTGTGGTTAATGCGCTAGACTGCAAAGTCGGTTTCAACCACAAGGTCGGCGGTTCAAGCTCACCAGCCTCTCCTCAGAAACCCTATACAGGGTCTCTATAGGTTGGAACCGACTCAATGGCACTTCACAACAACAACATCATAACTTTAATGTTTAAATTTTGTTATGAAAATTACATTGACCAGATATTTTATTTCTGTGAACATTTTAATTTACATTTTCTATTAATAAATAGTTCTTATCACATTAGAAAAAACAAAGCAAAACAAAACGCACGACTGTAGAGTTGATTTTGACTCAGAGCAACCGTGGAGGACAGAGTAGCCCTGCTCCCCAGGATTTCTGAGGCTGCAAATTGTTCCAAGCTTACGTCAGCCTCATATTTCACTGGCAAAGAGGCTGGTGGGTTTGAACTGCCATCTTTTCGGTTAGCTTAACCTCTGTGCCATCAAGACTCCTTTGACTACATTGTTGTTATTGTTGAGTGCCGTCCAGTTGGTGCTGACTCCTAGTGACCCTGTATAGGGTTTCTCAGAGCCGTAAGTAAGCCTTGTATGTCTTTTGCTGAGCAATTGATGGATTTCAACTGCTGACTTTTCTGATAAGCACTGGCCTGCTAACTATAATGTTGGCAGTTCAAACCCACCAACTGCTCCTAGGAAACCTTATACAGGGTTGCTGAGTCGGTCATGTAACAATATATAGGATCTAGTGCTTGAACTGAATCTGAAACTATGAGCAGCAATTAGCCAGGTGTTCAAGATGTGGGACAACATTCCTAACATAGAGAGTTGCTGAGTGCTGTGGAGTCGGTTTCAACTCATAGGACCCTGTATAAGGTTTCTGAGGAGCAGCTGGTGGGTTTAAACTGCTGACCTTGTGGTTTGCAGTCTAGCGCTACACCAGGAATCCAACATATAGAGTGATGTGGGCAAGCAATGAAGGTCCGTAAGGGCCAAGTGTTCTCAGAGAAGTGCAGGTTCTGTGCGCTGCTTAGTTTGGGTGAGTGAATCCGAGTAGAAGAAGTGAAGAAGGAAAGGTAGTTAAATCCTGAAGGGCCACATATGATATTTGAATGAATTTAAATCTCGGGAAGGGGATCTTACAGAGGAATAGCATGACTTGATTTACATTTGCTAAAGATTATGTTGTATGGTGAAGGGTCAGTGTTAATTCCAGAAAGTTTCTGTGGGAGGGACTGGGATAGCAACTTGATTAGAAAGGGGCGTAAGATACTAACTAGTCTTGCAGCTCTATTTGCATAGCAAACAGTATTTTTTTAAAAAGAGATTTTATGTCTGTTTGTGGTGACTTCAGGGGCTAATGAGGCATAATGTACGGGGACCTTTGTTGTTGTTGTTAAATGTTGTAGAGATGGTTCTGACTCATAGGGACCTGGTATAGGGGTTAAGAAGAACAGCTGGTGAGCTTCAACCACCCACCTCGCAGTTCAAACTGGCATTGCAGTCCAGTGCATTAACCCACAGCACCACACCGGGAGTCTACATGGGGGTCTTTAGCCATTCGTAATGCCCCTTACACCCCTTCATCCACAGCTGTGCCCCTACACTGCCACCATAGGGCATGTATTGGGTTTGAGGCTAGACAATGGCTGTTGCAATTTCGGAAAGAAGGGGATAGATTAGAGAGATTCAGACTGTAGAACTGACAAAGTCTAGCTGTTGAATTGTACAAAACACCAGCTTGAGGGAGGACTAAACCCATATAGTTCCATACAGTTTGCTGTGGAGCTGCTTCTTAGCTATACATACATATAACAATTGGAGTGTGAAGGTTACGTAAGTTTATACATCATGGTTTCCATGGAAAAAAAAAACACCCAAGTGTGAATACACCCAGAATAGTTCTTTGTAACAAGGCGTACTCTGGGTTATGTAGTTCTTGTAACATGCGATACACAGAGTAGGCTGAGTTTACAGAAGCTATTTATTAACAACTTATTCTTTGAATTCTATGACAACTATAGAATTAAAGTGTCTCATAATGAAATTGTTTTAATTAAAAAATAAGTTATCTTCACTGTAATATCAAAATGATAAATTCAACAAAGCTTGTAATTTAAAAGAAGTAACCATTGTAGTAGGAATCCTTGTGGCGCAGTGGGTTAAGCATTGGGCTGCTAATGAAAATAGATCATTGAAACCTACCAAGTATTCCAAGGGAGAGATGTACCTGTCTGTCTGCTACATATAGAGCAGTTCTACTCTGTTCTGTAGGGTCAGAGAGCGTTCTTTGAGTCAGAAGTGACTTCATGGTAGTGTGTATTTTTTTGTTTTGTTGTTAAGTGCTGTCGAGTTGATCCCAACCCATAGCGACCCCTGTATAGGGTTTCTGAGGAGCAGCTGGTGAGCTTGAACCACCACCGACCTTGCAGTTCAAACAGCTTTGCAGTCTGGTGCTGTAACCCACAAAGTCACACCAGGATTCCTTTTTTATTATAAAAAAAAAAACACAAAAAAAAACCCCTTTATTTTAAGGAGCTCTGGTAGTGTAGTGGTTACAAATCAGGCCGTGAACCATGAGGTCAGCAGTTCGAAAGTACCAGCTGTTCCATGGGAGAAAGATGAGGCTTTCTGCTCCCATAAAGATTTACAGCCTTGGAAACCCTGTACAGGGTCGCTATGAGTCAGAGCCGACTCTACGGCACATAACCACCACCGCTACCCTTTATTTTAGAGTCCTGGTGTGGCACTGTGGGCTAATGCACTGGACTGCAAAGTCAGTTTAGCTGTTCCTCAGAAACCCTATACAGGGTTGCTATGGGTTGGAACTGACTGGAAGGCATGTTGTTGTTAAGTGCTGTTGAGTCAGTTTTGATTCATAGTGACCCTGTATAGGATTCCCAAGGAGCAGCTGGTGGGTTTGAACTGCCTACCTTGTGGTTAGCAGTCAAGTGCTTACCCTACAGTGCCATACCAGGTCGCGTTCTTATGCACGCAGATTCTAGAGTTACACTGACTGGGCTTGGATTCTGACTTTGTCACTTCCTGTGTGCCTTGCCTTTCTTGTATGTAAAGTATGTAGGTAATAATAGTGCCCACCCAAAAGGTTGCTGTGAGAATTCAATAGATTAGGATGAACACTGTTTAGAACAATGACTGTCATACAGAAAGGCGTGGCGTTGCGTGCAGACTAATACGCTGGACTTCAGGGATGTTTTGAACCACAAGATCAGCGGTTTAAGCTTATCAGCTGTTCCTCGGAAACCCTAGACAGGGTTGCTGTTAGTCAAAACTGATGCGATGTCTCTTAACAACAACAACTGATGAAGCTCAAAGAAATGATCTTTATTTCTTTTTTTAAAAATAATATTTTACTGTGTTTTGGTGAGAGTTTACATAACAACGTATATTAAATGACATTGATTACATTTTTCACAATGTTTCAGCCTTCTTATTAATTGCATTCTGGTTGTTCAATTTCCAGTTGTTTAGTTTCCCTCATGGAGCTGACTGTTTGATACTCTTTCTTACCTTGAGTTTGTAAGCCTATTTCACTCTGATAAATGGATTGGCTAGACCAGTATTAAGTAGCTTCTTAATCATTTAAGCACAATTTACTTTTTAAAGTGTTATGAAAGTCAGTCTTTCAGTGTCTACATATTTTATAGCTGGAATATTAGCAATATCTTTATTATCAATTTCTTTGAACAAAATTTTACTCTTAGATATATACAAGCATTGAAGAAATTGTTACGTTTAATAATAATGCAACAAACTATTGACATCTTAAAGAATAAAAATAAAATTCCAATGGGAATTCTTCTCCTCATTACTTGGTGCAAGTAAAGAAGGAAGAGGCCAAAGTGAGAGACTTAGCAAACAAAGATAAAAGTTTGACGTGTTCTTTAATTTACTGTTCCCTGGTCAAACCCTATTACAACTAAAATCTCTGTAAATCAAAAAGATTTCTTCTCCCTAGCCAGTATCCTAATTTTGAGTATTATTCAATACAAAATAATTCCAGAACCAAGAAATAATTGGAACAAGCTCTTCAAATTGATTATAACCGGATTGACCTGCTTGAAGGCCATATCCCAGAAGAGCGATCTATCATTTTTCAGTTTTGACTTCCTTTACTTCTTATTTTTTAATAAAACATTTTTAATTTAGAGCTTATTAAGTGCATCTGAGTTATGGTTCACTCATGTTTGTAATTAAAGGTATTTTTCTCTGTCTCAGAATTCTTCTTAATTTCCTATAATAGTTTCTTTTGTATATTAAAGGGAGCACTGGATTAGGAGCCAACACTAACCACACTCCTGACATTAACTTGTGTGACCTTGAACCAGTCAGTAAACCTCTCTAGACCTCCGACTTTTCATCTTTAAAATTAGGAATTTAAATT